CTCCCTGCTCTGAGATGACACTGGATTGTATATTTAGAAAACCCCATTGATCTCAGCCCAAAATCTCCTTGAAGCCTGATAAGACGACTTCAGCAAGAGTCTCAGGATACCAATTTAATGTGCAAAAATCACAAGCCATTCTTATACACAGTAACAAGACAAACAGAGAAGGCCAAATCCCATGATATGACACTCACACTTCAATATGCATTCAAAGAGATAAATACCTAGGATACACAACTGACAAGGGATGTATGTCAAATTGTTATTGTTTATATTAAGAATCGATAAGTATAAAGACTTGAGTTGAATTTCTTTAGCCAGCCCAGTTCTTTGTGCTGTAGTTATACAGCGCAGAAAACACTCTTCACTACGCGGGCAGAAGACATACACAATTATCATATTAACCCATTGATTTGGACACAACTGAAAATTTCAAAGAGATGGACAAAGGAGGGAAAACCAAACACAAACCAATGTAAAAATTAAGGATGGAAATACATAATGAGGAGTTTTCTGACACGTAAGATTTCAAGCGCAGTGTATTGGCTGTCGTTACAGGCCATTCTGACAGTGGGGAACGGTGCTCTCAAGTGGAAACAAACAGGGACAATTTGACTTCTTCTTTTCCTAACTGAATACCCTTGATTTCTTTCTCTTGCCTGATTGCCCTAGCCAGAACTTCCAACACTATGTTGAATAGGAGTGGTGAGAGAGGGCATCCCTGTCTTGTGCCAGTTTTCACAGGGAATTTTTCCAGTTTTTGCCCATTCAGTATGATATTGGCTGTGGGTTTGTCATAAATAGGTCTTATGATTTTGAGATACGTTCCATCAATACCAAATTTATTGAGCGTTTTTAGCATGAAGGGCTGTTGAATTTTTTTCCAGTCTTAAATTTTTACCTTTAATTCTTCAGTTATGGTGCATGGCCATGTAGCACATCAACTTTATTTAAAGACTTTCTGTATCTTGTTAGATTTCCCTCAGTAATCAGAAAGAAACTCACCTTTTTATATTTCATTACCGACTCCCTTTTGTTCTATTCTATCTGAAGAATGCTGGTAATATATGGATGTGGCCTTTTAGTGCTTAGTGAATGGTGAAATTAGTTCATCAACTTCAGCAACCACTTCTGATGACTTTCGTAAGTTCTTTTTGATAATTTCCCCTAAGAAAATAATCTTAAAACTTACCATTATCTTTAGCATGCTATTTAATGTAAACTAAAATTGTATGTACATAAACCAATGCATGTAAGATGGAAAAAAATTGCCGTAGAAAGGAAGTTAGACAATATAGAGATTGCCCTGAGAAAGCTAACTAGCTTTGTGAAGGGTTTGGAAATTATACTGTATATAAGAAACAAAGGCAGTCAGGATATTATATTAAGCCTATTGAGAAGCTGGGAACTATATATGCCATTTTGAATACCAATAGTCATAGTTGTCAGATTGTATTGTATATTAAAAATAATAATGTGAATTTTCTTTACAGCCAGTTACTTTGTAGTTTCACTCAGAAAAACATATGGAGACATTTATACCCATTGATTTGACAACTGAAAATCAAGAGATGGACAAGGAGGAAACCAACAGAAAACCAAGGTAAAAATAAGATAAAATATAATGAGAGTTTTTTCTAAAGTAAGATTTCAGCAGTGTATGGCTGGTGGTAAGCCATTCTGACAGTGAAAGACTTAAAATATATCAGAATTTACTGATGATTCTAGAGTTTAGAAAAACCTTAGTTTCTCAGGGAGTATTTTCTAACAAGGTAGGCAAGTTAACACTGGTTGTTGGCTCCTTCCCCCAGACCAACCTTGGATATGCCAAAACAGTGAGAAGGAGGTTGTTGGATATGAGAAATTAACCAACAACTGAGAAATCCTAGGAAAGCAAAAGGCATCATTTGTAATAGTATTGAAAAATAGGTACATTAGATACATAAATACTTTTTTGTTTTTTGAGACAGAGTCTCGCTCTGTCACCTAGACTGGAATGCAGTGGCATGATCTTGGCTCACTGTAACCTCCGCCTCCCAGGTTCAAGTGATTCTCCAACCTCAGCCTCCCTAGGAGCTAGGATTACAGGCACCCACCACCACACCTGGCTGATTTTTTTTGTAGTTTTAGTAGAGAAGGGGTTTCACTATTTTGGCCAGGCTGGTCTTGAACTCCTGACCTCATGATCCACCCACCTCGGCCTCCCAAATAAATACTATTTTTTTAAATGATGTAATTATGCCCTTTATGAAAAAATTATAAAGTTTAATTCAGAATTCAACAAAATTTATATAGAAAAGCAAAGGGTCAAGAATATGTAAAACACTCCTTAAAAAGAAAATCTGATAATCTTGACCTACAACTCTTAAAACTTATTATAAAGCTATCATAATTAAGGAGTGTGCTGTAGAAACAAGGATACACAAATAAAGAATAAAGAACCCAAGAACAGACCATTGTATTCATTTTAAGTGAACATAGACTTGGCGTTATAGGTTAGTGAAGATTAAGTGGGCATGTTCAATAATGGTGCTGTGACAATTGTATATCCCTGTTGGCTGGGGGCAGGGGAAGAAATGGAGCCTGTCTCTTACAATATACCCAAAAGTCAAGGGTTTAAGGACTTATGTATTAATTAAAAGACTTGTAAAACGTAAAACTTTATGTTAGGAAAACATATAAGCTCATTTTGTCATTACCTTGGACTGAGGAAAGATTTCTTAAGAAGTCATAAACAATACAAACCATAAAGGAAAATGCAGATAAATTATATTAAAATTAGTAACTTCTGTTTATAAAGACATAAGAAAGTGAAAAGATAATTCCAAATGAGAGATATAAAGTGACAAAAGATTGCTGCTCAAAATATGTAAATAACTACTACACATTGTTTACAAAATGGCAAAAAATTCAGTACCAAAAAAAAAAAAAAAAGGTGGGGAGGACAACAGATATAGATAGACATTTTAATGAAGAGGAAAATTTTCAAGATGTTTATAAACAAAGTGGGAACTCAAAACGCTCAAAGGAAAAGGATTTAAGAATAATACGTAATAAGCGATCTATAAATAAGTTCAAAGACATTGTGCTTTCTTTGTCATAGAAAAGAAATATTACCTTCTTAATGATTTGATTAAGTGTTTTTCTTTAATATACCAATAGATAAAGTACTTTTTTTCCCTTAACAGTACATATAAGACTTTACAGAACCTAGAATTTTCTCTGCTTTATAGAACTGTGATGTATAATATAAGTTGATTGTAGGCAGTAATTTTGGATTCTGTTCTTAAGAAAAAGTTTTTCCAACAGTAGAGAGTTGGCCAATGTCCTGTGAAAAAAAAGGAAGGCAATATATGGATATGAAATTTCAGAAAATTGTGTTCTGACTTCACTCTGTTTAATTGGGTAACAGTTCTTATCTTCTAAAATGAGATCAAGATTCACAAGGCCCTAACACCAGTTAGACCTATTTAAAATCTAACTAGACTCTCCATGTAAATGTTGCAGATCTTTTTCAAAGTGCCTATCAAAAATATTTGAGTGAATAGATATTATATTGTATTGTAAAGTCAGAATAAATATTTAATCTTTCAGTTATGGAGAATGTTAATCATAGTATTTATTAAACCTAAGAAGCTGTTTTAATTATAAATGTGAAATTGTAGGTAATATGCTAATAGCTCAGTATTTTGTTGGTGTGATTTTTCCATTTATTTTCTTAGAATTGTTTTCTTTGTCATTTAGACTTTTAAAATATGAAGAGAAAAAACACGAAGATATAAAACCATTAGAGACTCAACCAACTGAAATAGCAGAAAAGGAATTGGAATATAAAACAGTTAAAGCGTTCACTGAATCTTTGAAGTCAGAGAAAACAGAAGGTATTTATCAAGATTACTATTTAGGCATGTTGGTTTATATTTTAGTTTATGAAAATTGAAATAAATTTTTCATAGCATTAAATTAAGGAAACAAGTGAAACATATTGAAATATTAGTGTCTACTTTCAAAATATAAAGTTGGGTATTTTACTCACTTCATTAGTCATAGCAGTTAGCAGTGTCTTCAAATACAAAGCTTGCTCTTCAACGGGAGCATAATCTAACTATTCATAATAATAATAAAAGTAACAGGAATATTACTAATACCAGTGAAATGTCAGAATATCTGATATGTCTATAGCACTTTACAGTTTCCATCACTTTTTCATGCATATCATGTCATTTTTTTGAGGTACAGACCTTACAGGAGGGTCACGGTTCTCCTAAGTCCCCAGTGCCTCTGACTGTGTTGTGACCTCCTTTATTGCTCTTACCTACTAGTATCTAATTACTCCCTCACATATTTCCATTTTTTAAGCCTTCTTTCCTTCTTCACTCAAATTCTACCATTTCCAGGATTTGATTTTATTTTTTACCACAACTTCCTTTCTCATCCAACACTTTTATGTCCTCACTTTTATAAGCTTTCAGCCCCATTTATGGTGCGTGTGTGGGGAAAACTGTACCTCCTCTCCTTTGAAGTAGATCCCACCAGCTCATTTTGGAGCTCTGCTTCTGCCATTTCCTCAGGAAATTGGGGTCCATCAGATATGTTCTCTGATGTCTTTTTTTCTCCTGGCTCTTTTTCTGTCAGCACATAAACAAGCTACATGCTTACACACCTTAAACAAAACAACCCAGAAACATCTTTGGTTCTGTATTGCCTTCTCACAGTTATCAGGATTCTTGAAAGAGTAGCCTAGACTTCCTTACCTCTAATTCATTCCTCAAGCTGGATTCTACCTCTTTCCTTCTATTGGTAAGACTCTTTCAAGGTCACCAGATACCTCCTCGTCGCTAATCTTTATAAAATAATTAATTTGTAAATAAAATAATTTGTATTTCACTGCATCATTCTGCAATATTTTATTATTTGACCACTTATTTCCATTTTTTCCCCCTTGACTTTTAAGGAAATACTCACCTGGCTTTCTTTATACTTGTCTATGTGCTCATTTTCAGTCTCTTTTATGGGTTTTTTACTTCTCTGTGTTGCCTTTATATGTTATTGTTTCTCAGGTGTTTTAGGGTCTGCCAAAATTAGTATTTCCTCTTCTCTATGGACTAGACCATACTTTGTTTTTAGTAATAATATATAGTCATGTTCTGCATATGACATTTTGGTCCATGATGGACTGAATATATGATGATGGTCCCATAAGATAATAATACTGTATTTTCACTGTACCTTTTCTACATTGAGATGTGTTTAGATACACAAATACATAGTATAGTGTTACAGTTGCCAACAGTATTCAGTACAGAAATGTGCTGTACAGATTTGTAGCCTAGGAGTAATAGTTTATTCCATATAGCCTTGGTGTGTACTAGGCTGTACCACCTAGGTTTGCGTAAGTGCACCCTTTGATGTTTGTGTGACAAAATTGCCTAATGATGCATTTTTCAGAATGTATCCCTGTCATTAAGCAATACGTGACTGTATTTCTTCCTATTTTACCTAATAAATGCATACTGCAAACAATATTTAGGTATACCTTTAGTTTTCTTCATCCTCTGCTTGAAGATGGGTGTATTTGATTTCTGGAAGGGGCCTGAGCTTCCAGAATTCTGGCCTTCATTGGGCCAGAATGTTTTAATCTGTGGAGTGCCTAAACCTTACAGATAGCTGTGTTTGCAGGCTTGTCAAAGCTTTCCCTCCAACAGAGTGAAAAGTAGAAGGAGTACTCTGAGACTTTTGCTATTTTTCTTAGGAAAGAGGAAAGAAATATAAGGCTAGATAGGGATACAAATGTTGGGTAAAGCAAGGATTTGCCCACGTTAAGGAATTTTGTCATTATGCTTTGAAGATAAGAGCCATGGAAAGGTTTTAAGCAAGGAGATAATATGAGGATTTCTGTTTTGCAAAGATCACTCTGGCTGTATATTGAAGAACAGATTGAAAGAGAACAAGAATCGATACGGGGGACCATTTAGGAGGCTGTAGATATTCTGAAGGTACAGTTATCAGTTATGATGATGGGTTGGTGAGAGAGAAGGAGGTGTTGAAGATGATACCTACACCTTGGGCTTGCTTAAAATAACCAATAGTGGTCCCATTCACTAAGACTGGAAGTCCTTAAAAAAAGGTCAGGAGTTTAGAGGAAGGATCATGAGTTCAATTTTGGACATGTTGAATTTGGAGTACCTTTGACACATGCCAGTGATGTCTAGGGGGCAGTTGAATATATGTGTCAGGAGCTCAGAGAAGTTAGGGGTGAGGTGATGTATTTGGGAGTAATCATGTGTGTGGATGTTTAAGCCATAGCCATTGATGAGATTGACCAGGGAGAATGTATAAAGTGAGACTAAAACAGGGCCAAGGAAATGTAGCAGTTACGAGCCAGGTAAAGGACAGTGGCAAAGAACATGGGATTGGTCAGAGTTAAGCTGAATAGGATGACAAGAAAGAGAGAGTGGGAAGTGTCACAGCACTCAAAGGAAACAATTGTATCCAAAAGGAGAAGTGGTCTAAAGTATCAAATAACACTGGTAAGTAAAATGAGGACTAGAAAATGTCCATTGAATTTACTGACCTCGAGAATATGGGACTCGAGTGCTGTTTTTGTGACGTTCCAAAGCCAGACCAGATTGGATTAAGAAATGGATAGTAAATGAGAAAATAGAGTTAGTGACTATATGCAACTCTTCAGAGAAGTTTAGCTGTGAAGAAAGGCAGAATATAGACTGATAATCAGAGGGAGCTGTGATTTTATTTGAGATAGGAGCTGCTTGGATATGCAAAAGAAAAAAGGAGTAGTTAATAGTGTAGGCATGAAGAGACAGGATCTAAACAAAATGTGGAAAGGATTGGTCTTGGATGAGAGGAAAACCGGATACCTTTTTACTAAGTCAGGAGGACAGGAGGGAAAGATGGGTGCACAAGTGGGTTGCTTCATTTGCTTGAAAATGGCAAGTTGAAGGAATTCCCACTGATGCTTTTTTGTTCCCTGGGAAGTAGGCATTGAGATCATTTGGAGGAGAAAGACTGAAAGGTAAAGGTTTAGAGATTTGAGGAGCATGGAGAAAATCTGAAATAGTCATTGAAAAGGAAGAAGAGCAAGTTAGACAACAGGATTTTTGGTTTGCATTCAGGGTCCATTTGTGGTTAATTAAAATGAATTTTGGGGGTTATCAATCCACATAGGACCTCTTTCTAATAGCATTGGAATGTGCAAATGTATGCAAAGAACACATAGAGTTGTTTTTTTTTCTTTACTATTATTATACTTTAAGTTCTAGGGTATATGTGCATAACGTGCAGGTTTGTTACATATATATACTTGTGCCCTGTTGGTGTGCTGCACCCATCAACTCGTCAGCACCCATCAACTCATCATTTACATCAGGTATAACTCCCAATGCAATCCCTCCCACCGCCCCCCTCCCGGTGATAGGCCCGGGTGTGTGATGTTCCCCTTCCGAAGTCCAAGTGATCTCATTGTTCAGTTCCCACCTATGAGTGAGAACATGTGGTGTTTGGTTTTCTGTTCCTGCGATGGTTTGCTGAGAATGATGGTTTCCAGCTGCATCCATGTCCCTACAAAGGACACAAACTCATCCTTTTTTTATGGCTGCATAGTATTCCATAGGGTATATGTGCCACATTTTCTTAATCCAGTCTGTCACTGATGGACATTTGGGTTGATTCCAAGTCTTTGCTATTGTGAATAGTGCTGCAATA